AAGTATTTTTATGTGTGTACAAGCTGTTTAGATCATCAAAAAGCCTGTGTTTTTAGGGTTAGTAATGGAGTTCGTGTACTCAGACCTGTAATATTGTGGGTTATGAAGCACCTTGGATAATCTCCAGAAATCAATGTAAAGGGTAATAAAAATAATTGCTGCTGGAACATTTTTCCTTTAGTTATTACAAAAACACAAAATAAGTAAAAAATAAGTATTTTTATGTGTGTACAAGCTGTTTAGATCARCAAAAAGCCTGTGTTTTTAGGGTTATTAATGGAGTTTGTGTGCTCAGACCTGTAATATTTGGGGTCACAAGTTTTTGCCATGGATATTTTGTGGGTCAGAAGACAAAAAGTTCGGGAACCTCTGGRTCAGACGATCCAACTCGAGGTTATAAGAATTTCATGCTGTGATACGTCCACCACTCAGAAAAAGCTGCAGCTGAAATTATGGTCAAACTAAATATGATAAACAGCTGTAATTCAAAAACAGAGTGAGGCATTTTTATTTATTTTGTTTTACGTTTTTCAAAACAGCAAAAAAAATTAATAATAATTATTAGAAGAATAGGAAAGCTTGGACCTTTCACTGACTAACAACTGTGACCTGAGAAAAAGAGGATGTGTTGTTTTCCTTCCTAAGCAAGGAATGGACTCGACAAAACGGGATGGTGAACATGAGGAAAGACCGCCTGCTCTTCCGTTTGAACATTCCTCTGAGATGGCCTCATCAACAGCTTTTGGACTACAGGACCCCTCACGTGTTAGTATGTTGCTCCTAAAATCAAAACAGTGGGGAATCAGAGGCTCTACAAAGCTGGAAGGGGAAAGCAGCAAAATGTCTGTACAGGGTTAAACTAATGGGATAGATACTGTATGTAGCCTTGAGCGAACTAATGCAGGAGCACTGTCCAGGTAAACAATTACATCACATGGAGAGATTAGGTCCGGCCACGTAACAGGTCAGGAGAAGACACTCTGCCTCCTTAACACATGACATTTCAGTTTCCTCTGGAGTTCCTATTATAGGACATAAAGAGAAATAACAGACAAGAAAACTAACAAAACTTGTCTTTCCCRCACATTTTTGAAACATGACAGGATGCAAATGATGCTGTGATTAGTAATCATTACCGTCATGAAGTTACTGAGGTCATATGTTTTTAGTCTGGTCCAATGTTGAGGAGGTGGAGAGGATAACAAATTCTTCTTCTATTAGATCTTTATTGACTCTGTCCCACTTAGGAAAGATTCAACCCTGCAGGTTTAATATAAAGGGTGTGGTGGTATTTGACTTCAGAACTGGCTGTATATTAGTCCTCAGGTTATGTAGGTTTATTTAGGATTTTTACACCCACCACCCCAAGGTTAAAAAAAAAAAATAACTGAAACAACACTAGGAGACTTTCACTATAAAAAAATACAACTATTATTTATCCAAACTGATCATACTGACGTGTTGGCCGTTTTAGAAATTGATTTACTTGTGACAAGCCATAATTGATTTAGGCTAAACARGTCGATTTATGACGAAATAGGAGACGTTCCGGGTATATTCACAAAACTGTGAGCTGAATTATAGWGTAAAAACAAACCATAAAGCTACACATACGAATAACGGGAAGTGAATGTTTGAATAATGATAGCGGACAACTCTCGGTGTTTCGACTAAAACAATAAGCTTTTTTSAGAGTCAGAGGAAGCCGAACACACGAGACACAAACAGCAGCTAAAAAACAGAAAAGGCTGAATATTGTTTAAACATGTTCAGGTTCCTACCTGCTCATATCAAAGCGGTGTCTCGTCCTCCGTGTCAGTAATTCAGGCACCTTCTTCCGAGCCGCGGCCTCTGAAGCTAAATGAGGTAAGTGCAGTGTTTAGGAAATTGCCAACGCGTCTCCCGGAACTAACGTCAGTGCTCACAGGGGCGTACGTGCTGACGTCTACRATCATGACGTCAAAACTGGGAGAAGCCACACCTACCTGCCCAGGCATCTGGTTTTCGGGTTTCTGTGACTAATATTGAAACTGTTTTTTTGTAATGTTCCATAAAGGAAAACAGGACGATCCAGGCCTTTTTTTCTCATGAAGATATTACCTGTCACATTTGTCCCTATTTAATTCAAAAACATTTAGGTGTATATTGCATGCTTTCCCCTTAAATAGATTTATTTCAAATACACCATTTAGGAGCCCGTGCCTCACTTTATCTACTTTTTTAATTTCCAGAGACCACCTGCTGCTATTTAATATCTGATGACATTCAGTGTGGAACAAACACATTTTATTCTTGTTTACCCTTTGTTGGGAAAATAATGTTCACTTTCATTGAATATGACAATAAACTGAACCGCAAACTCATTAGTTTTGATGGTGAAGGACAGTGTGTTTTGGGGATTACACTTTTTCTGAATGTAGCCTAGATTGTGTAGTTTTTCTTGTTGCCACAAGATGGCAGAAAAAAGTCAACTATCCAATCAGAAATGAGAAATAGGAACAGCCTTTAGGAAACTTTTAAAAGGAAATCATCTTTTGTCAGTCTGGAAACATTTTGGACATTTTACTTCAGTTATTTTGTRGCACAGTCCTTAAAGGCATCATTGCAATTGGATACGTGCGCCTTTTATATATAACAAATGCTACACAAAATGTTTTTTTAATATAGAAGAAAACTAAAATGATTGAACAGAATTAAAGTGAAATCTGTGGTTACATGACAACAAAGCACACAAAGACATGGCTGCTTTTAATCAAACACGTTTCAATGACATATGAGGCTGTCTGGGTGAGGAAAATGAAACGTGAAGACATTTGAACTGGATCCAGTTCAGCTCGCTGCTGTCACAGGTGGCCGGCCCTGTTTTACAACACTCCTCTGGCCTCCACCCAACCAACGGCTGGGAGAACCGGTGAGGACGAGACGCCTCACTTTAACCAGGAGTTTACCATCGAATAACCTGGTCCCCACATGGCACTCTTTAAAGAGGACCCGCAGGAGTGCCCGGTGTGCTACGAGACTCTCTCTGGCAACGAACGGACGCTGAGCTGCGGACATGTGTTTTGCCACGACTGCCTGGTGAAAACGCTGGTGAGCATCAACAGTGATGGAAACATCAGGGACACGATCGCTTGCCCCATCTGCCGTCACCTGACGTTCATCAGGAGACAAAAAGAAGCGCTGGCGTCCCTCGCAGCCAAACAGAGTCCGGACGAAGGACAGACCCTGGAGGTGCCTGTCCCACCGAGACCCGCGCAGCGCCAGAGCGCACGGCGCGCCTCCGTGGACAGTTTGCTCTCTGGGATGAACTGGGTGATCCGCTGCTGCAGGTGTGTGTTTCAGAGGATCCGCGCCGGGAGGCTGATCAGTCCCGGCAGCAGCAACGCGTGTCAGATCTTCATCATCAGCGCCCAGGGGCGACCCATGGCCGAGGAGGATGCGCTGCATGATGTGGTGACGACTGTGGAACAGCCGGCGCGCAGGAGGAGACGCAGGATTTGCACGACAGCGAGATGCTTAATCTTTTTGCTTTCTGCCTTTACTTTACTCGCGCTGGTGGCTGCGACCTTACCCTGGATTTTATTGGCATGATCCATTTGGAKGGCTCAACGTGCCAAATGATTAAATAACTTAAAGACATTCCCACGGATTTTTATCTCTATTATGCAATATTTATGAATGACTGATCCAAAAAAAAAAAAACCGTATGAACTGAAAATGTGCTTTAAAGTAAAAACATAAATACGTATTTATTTAGTTTTTTTCCTATAGTCTTAGCAGTCTAGTGTGCTCAAGTTTGTGACAAATTCAGCATGTAAACAATTCAAGCACAAAAATGACAAGCTTCTATTAAAAAAAGTTCCAAATCTATTATTTTTAATTTTGCTTTTTTGCACTGGTGACAAGATAGCCTATTGCTGTGCTGCATGTTTCCAAGCAAAAACACAACTTCCAGTTTTCAAATTAGTTCAATAAAAATAGRTGCATTGTTATAGAAAATAAATTAGGCTTGAATGAGTCTAACTATAAAGCATGCTATGCATGGTTAAATTGAGGTTACTGGAGTGACTGAATTTAACTGAATCTGTAAGAAATAATTGATGCTCRCTCGGCCGTCTGAAGGAGAGCTATCCGATTGCTGTAAGGAGAGACACTTCTGATTAGATTACCACTGAGACCCACAGAATCTAAAGTACCAAGAGTTTAAACTTACAGAACCTGCACGTGCAGACGTGTCTTAATGTTTATATTGAAACTTAAAGCTATAGRATTGGAAGATTGTGAGGAAGTTTMGCTTGGAATAACTTTTGTCCAAAGAGTTTCAGTGTTTCACTCAAACTGACATAGTGAGACAGATTTATGCAGTTTGAGGAACAGATTTGTCACTTGTTCTTGGAATGAACTTTTTCAGTATCATCACCATCCTCTGAAACATGGACACTCCTTTTACCTTGTAAGTTTTCAGTCCTCCCGCTGGACCAGTCCTGCAGGTTACACACCTGAACAGGCCTCTGCCTTTGAACAAAACCTGTTTTTGTTTATGTGTCAGAAACCTGACGAGTGACCTCTTTTTGGCAAAAATGAACTTGTTGGACTCATCGGTTTGGAAACTGATAACGGTAAGATCAATACATTGTTTCAAGAGACATAACTTAAAGCATCAAAACAAGGAAAGAGTTGAGTTAAAAAACGCTGAATGAACCAAACGTGCAGGCTGAACTCTACCAGTGTACAGGGAATGGAAACAAAACCAATAAGTGCAAGAAAACAGACACAAATAAACAAATAAATAAATAGATAAATATTTTCCTCATTTTCTCTGACATAAAAAAACGTATGTTTGTGGTAATTTCCCAATTATTTAATATCTATAAAATAATGTAAAATACTGCCTATAAGACATAAAAAATTGAACAAAAGCCTTAAAATATTAGAAAAACTGTGAAAAATAGGAATGGTTATAATGGCATATTACTGTTCATTAGCAGGATTAAATGTAGAATCTATCTGAATCAGGTCCTAGTTAATTTTAGCGTCCCTTTTGCATCTCCAAATCTCACTGCTGATTTACATATAAATAGTTTTGTCTGATATTTTTTTTTTATCTTCAGAAACCAGATTGTGGAGCGAAGCAGTTCTAGGAGGTGTTAGGGTATACACCCCTGGAAAATTTAGTGAAAAATCTACTCAAAACTATAAAATATTTTTTGTCCCCCATTTGTGGCGCCCCCTATAAACGGCACCCTTATCATTTGCTTACGCTGCCTTTGCCACGAGCCAGCCCTGGTCTAAACAAATCAACGTTGAACTGTTTGATAAATACATTTCAACCCAAGAAAGAAAAGAAATAAAGACACAATCTGCAAGTGAGATTCTTAAAAATGTAGAGTTTAATATATATTTATATTTATTTCTGACATTCTGATAAGGATTGCAGGTAGGCTTCACAGTACACACTGTGTTCAACTTCTTATGCCAAGCAGAGGACGGAGGGGTGGGCATGGTGGGCTCAACAAGCAGCAGATATTTTGTTTTGTTTTACACATTAGCTGTGAAAAGCAGAAGGAGGCTGTACATCTACAGGCAACCTCCACTCCTCCTCTATATTGCTCAAAATCCCACAAAGGTCCATTTATCGTGACCCACGTTTTCTTCAAATCCTTCTACTCATGTCTTTATTGGCCCCTCTTACAATCCCCAAAAAGACGGTGAAAACATGGATTATTAAAATACCCATATAAGTGCATGCATGACACTTTTTTTTCTTCTTTTTTTACGTATTTTCTAATTTAAACCCTGGACACAAAATGTAAACAAACTGGGCTTAAATTTAGACTAACATATGTAGTGATAAGGTGAGCTCAGAGGACTAAAGTCAATAATAGGCTTGATTAAACTATCATCTGGTGCAAAAAGGAAAAAAAAGCATCTTAAAACCCATAAAGTTTGTTATAGCTGAAATTAGATACATGACAAAAAATATAGCTCACATTTTTGGGAAGGAACTGATGATTTCTTTTCTTTCTTTGTAGTTTTCTTTCAGCAGCATAGTAACCACACATAAAATGACCATGAATGCATGCTTCTACATTGCTGCAGGTTCCAGTTATAATGCACAAAAGCATTAACGTGATGCTGCTATGTCCTGGTAATAAAACATGCCAACGGGCTGAAACTAACCCCATTAAAGCACTAACTCCCACTTGTCCTGCTAGTTGTTACAGAATGCCGTAACCTGTGTCAGTCACATTCAGAGACATCCTGGTACAAATGTATCGATGCAGCACAAATAAAAAACCTCTAGCACACGTTATTCATGACTATAGCTCCGAAAAAACAACCAGAGTGAGGGCACTTGCAATTGTAGTTATATAGTTACCACAACTATCAATATAATCAACATCACCAAAATCTTCATGAAGATTGAGCACACACACTGAGGCATACCAAAGATAACTTCTGCAGAAAGACTCGTCTATAATTCTTCTTGATTCCCACATAAAAAACCTACCAAAAAAAAAAAAAAGAAAAAAGAAAAAGAAAGCTTTGCAGTGAAATAAATGGCTTTTTTTTCTTCCGTAGAGTTCAAAAATGTGACTGAGTCCACGTTGTTTTGACTTAGAGAACACTGTAATCGCACTTTAACGTTACTGTTTTGAGAAACTGTACAATAAAGGAAAAAGGCGAAATTGTAAGGAGTGTCGTCAGGTTAATTAAAAATAAATATATCTCTAATTGTCAGAGAGCAAAAAACAAAAAGTCAGTTGTCTTCATAATCAGAACCTTGTTGTCATTTTTGAAACTTTCCAACTATAAAAATTAATTCAATGGCTTAGAATTGTTCAAGAAGAGGCAGATTATTTACATTATCGCCCGCTGATAAAGGCAAAAAAATATATGTTTTTGCCCATATGTGTACATTTGTCTGAACTGTTGGTAAAATATCACATTATTCACTGAACGGATGAAGCTTTCAGAAATCTATTATTGGGTTGAAATCCTTTTGATGTAAATCCAAGATGGCCACCTCCAACTGATCTTACAAACAAAATAAAATGTTATAACCCAGCCAATACCACAGATATTGGGCTAAATTTTGTTGTGGTTGTAGCTGGGCATTGTCCTCAACTCATGCTTTGAGCTCAGCACATTGTGCAATGTATTTTCCTGAAACATTGTCATTGCCTGTTGGAGTCAACCCTGTTTGAAACTCACAATCAATTCAAAGCAAGATGGCCGCCACAGAAAAGCAATCTTAGCAAACACAAAAACGGCTATAACTCAGTCAACTGTACAGYTACTGAGCTAAAATCTGGTGTGGTAGTAGCTGAGAGTCACCCACAACACGCAATCTAAGCTGTAACAGGACATGCAAAATCACAATATTGCAATGCACTGAATGTAGTTTTGTTTTCAAAAAGTGACCGAATAACTGTTTTGTCATTTCTGAACATAAGATAAACTTAAAACTTAAAACGTTGGCATAAGATGCAGCGGGCGATATGCATTTCTTTAAGGATCGCTAGGCCTTTACTTTAAACTGGATCACATAACATTTCATAAAAGAAAGTCATTTATAGTTACTCGGCAAGCCATTAAAGTTCCAACTGGACTGAAATGAAATCTTAAGCAACAGAATACTAAAAAAGAAGCAGCTTCGGCTGATTTCTAGCAGAAACAACATTCTGCTCGTCTGCTGCAGCATCGCAGTTACCTGGTGTTACTGTGAAATATGATGAACCTGCAGTACACCTGTTCATCGTGTGCAGGGACAAAAATAACATCAATTTTTTTAATCAATACATTATCTACACCATAAATATCAGCACATATACTGTATTGTCATCATTATATGTTCAAGATACACATTTTACATAGACTTTTCCTCTTGCTTTTTATACACATCATGTTTATGTACAGTCTTTGTATTGACACTCAGAGAAGGGTCAAAGGTCAATGAACCTGAAGCACTTGAAACAAAGTTAAGAGAGATAAATCACACAAACATAAAGGCAGTGTCGTTGTTCATCCGTTATCACCAAGCTGCAAAAAGGCCGACCACGCTGGGGGTTTAAAAAAAGACCACAAACACTCACACAAACTAAAGCACAGCCACTCTGAGGCCCTCTGAGGCCGGTCACATTGGCTTCTCATGCAACATCATGGGGTCTTTCTTCCACAGAACACTTACAAAAGCTAGAATTACAATAACATTCTTCTCAGTATGTGCTGGTTCAGTAGAAAGGGAGTCAAAAGTGAGCTTATCTACAACCGTAGACGTCTGGCAAAGAGTTTGTGATCAAAAAAAGAGACTTAAAGTTGTGGGGAGTGAGGCTATAAAAATAAAACTGAATTAGGTGTTTCATTCTGCATGCYAAGCCTTTTTTTAAAGGACCTGGCATGTATCTTTTTATTTTATTTTTTTTAACGTGTGCAAAGTCGAATACCCTGTGAGCAATAAAACCAGACTATCTGCTCTCACTCTGTCTCTGTCTCAACCTGAGGATGAACTTCCCTAAGCAAAACTTGTACAATGTGTGTGAGTCATGTTGCAATTTGACTGCATGTTATAAAGCAAAGGGAAAAAAAGCAATAAAAAAGACACACAAGTCACTGTGTTAAAAAGCGTTTAAATTATTTTAAAAAAGCCAAAATAAACCAGTGAAATTAAAATCTTTTGCTGTAATACTTATCTATTTTCCAGTCTTTCCTCTTAAAGGCAACAGTTCGTCCACTATGGCATTTTGGTGTTTGTTTTTCAGGTTTCTTTTTGTAGTCACGTTAAGCGATGCAGCTGTGAAAGATGGGTGTCTCTGCAGCTTGTGGCAGACGTGAACGTTCGTGTCCCGGTTTCAGGTGGGCATTGGGGGAGGCCGGTGGCTTGTTTCCACCAGGCCTCAATGGCAACAGTTAGGAGCATCTAGGGTTGCTGGTAYCGTGACGCCTCGGGGTCGTAGGTCATAAAATGGTGCTCTGGGGCTCCTCCTCGGGCGCAGCGTCCCCGTCTGGAGAGTCTGTCACTGCCGTGGACCTCCTGCAGGGGGCGCCGCTGAACTCATCGATGAGGCTGTCCAGATTGACATTGATGGAGGGGATTTCGTAATTGAAGATATCTAATGGTAACCATGACGGGAAAGGTGAGCAGAACAGCAGAAGTGGTATTGAAGAGCGACAGGAAGAGGAAACAGGCGAGGGTGAGGGTCATGTGATGATGATAATGAGGTGTAAAAATGAAAGAGAGCAGAAATAARGTTAGTTGTCTTTATGCTTGGCTCGTGATTTGTGGCATATGAACTAGATTAAAGTAGATTARATGTGCTTCACATTCTACACAGGGATGTTTCTCAGTTTTGAGATTAGCCACAGATTGGTGTCGTTTGTCTTTTGGCAGAACAGCGACACACACTTGGTCAGAAAAAAACACAACGACAGGTCAAACGACTGCACGATGACACATTGCACAGCTACAACAATGGCCGGATAAACCAACACAAAGGCAACAAGATGTGTGTGTATCTGCGGAGAAAGAAAAAATGGCGTCAAGACACCAAGTGGCTTAAAGTAGCAATGAAAGACTGCTTGTCCTGCAGAACCTTCAGCGCTGTACCGTTTACTGGAAGCCACAGGTCCAAACAGGCTGATGACTACTCCTGTGTAGGAATGAGATGGAGCGTGAAAGAAGAGGAAGCAGAGGTTACATAAAAAGCGAAAGGTTTACCTGTGGACCCCTGAGGGGGCAGGGGGGGCATTAGAGGATTAGAGGAGGAGGTGTCTGCCAGCATGAGGCCGGAGTACAGGGGGTAAACTGAACGAGGAGGGGAGTTTAAGATGAACCTTTGTAAGCAATGATTACTGCAATGAGAGCGCAATGTGGTGCACTCTGGGAAATCCATTAGCCGTGCYTTAGTGGTTAAGCTGCACAGAGCGAATAAATAACAATTTTAAACTGATGCAACAGAARAAAAAATAAATATTCTGATTGAGAGCTACACGTGGGGCGTCTTTAACACAGGCTGCAGGAGAGCCCAGAGGCATCCACAGTACGAGGCCAGGCAGTGAGATGGAGTGCATGGGGCGGGGGGGCGGTCTGGCTTACCCTAAAAGTCCCCCTCACACTTAGCCCACACTGAATCCCTGGCCTCACACAGCTGCAAAGTACACAATAGTAGCAGGGGAGGACAAGAGAATGATAAATATAACAAAGTCAAAGAATGACTGGAATATATAACAGAACACCTCATCATCAGAACATCATATTGCAGGTATCATGTGGGAGGTGGGGGTGTTTCTGGTTATGTTTCCACACCTGCTCAATGTAAGCCTCTGACCTACCTCTGCCGCATGTGGGGGTCTGGGTAACACAGATAAACAGAGAGCACATGATGGCGACTTCCATACAAGCAGAACGAGCTATATGCTTGTCTGATGTTTCCACACGTTACCCGGAAACATCATCACAGAACACAAGCGATGACATCGGCTCACTACACAGAAACGCTAAAATCTACCTTTTATTTTTGCGTCTGTTTCTAAAAGGCAGCTTCTTTTTTTTTCTGTCAATCATATTTTTTTGGGGAGGTGATCAGACAATTAAAAGAAACAGGTGTCCTCTACGTCTWCAGTCATACAGAGTCCTACACTCGTCCTCCATCTCCATTGGACAGAGCCACAGCGAGTCTGAGAGTGGGCCGCTGCAGCCCCACCTGAGGCGGCGGCGGTGGGGGTGATGTTGCCACGGGCTGGTGTTTACCTGTAGACATGCTCTCTCCAGGAGACAGTCCATCCAGGAGGCCCTGCTCCAGAGGCTGGGGGACCGGGGGCAAGGCCGGACCAGAGATCCCCAGGGGCACTGTGGGTGGCTGAGGAGGGGGCAGGCTGGGTCTCTGCCTGGGCTTGGGGGCAGGCCGTGACTTGGTGAGTGTTCCGGTCAGGGAAGGCGGGGAGGATAGGGAGTGSGGTGCCCCTAGCGGAGTCTGTCCAGGGGACGATGGTGGGACTTGTCCAGGAGGATAGGTCAGTCCATATGGGGACGGGGTGCTGGGAGGGGTGGGGGAAAGGCTGACCGGTGACGGCTGACCCGTCGACTGGTCAGACATTCCTCCTGATTGGCCATACGGGATTTTTGGCGGGACTGGGGCCAACTTTTTGGAACCTGCAAACAAACATAGCATGTTACAGTATTTTACTGTTCCCTCTGACGAAATATCAAATCGACTCATTTAGTCAAAGCAAAACAATAAAATAAAAAAGATCAACATGCTGACCTTTGCGCAGAGTGTGRGGACTCTGCTCTGTGGAGTGGGGGGACTGGCTGCTGCTCTGAGGGCTGCTGCTGGGGGGCACTGTTGGACTGGCCACCTGGATGGCTTTGTGTCCAATTACAGGGGAGAGCTCTTTACTCTTCAGTGAACTGAAAAACAGCAGACATTATCATATGGACCAGAATAGAAACAGCAAATTATTCAACACTGAAGGCCTGAGCTGTGTGTTTACAACATGTGCCTCACATTACCTTACAACAGTCACTGCCACCATCATCACCACTGCTAGTGATTCTTACACTCTTATAAATCACTTTTTWAACCTACATTAATACAGTTGCTGAAATCAAGAACACAACTGAAAGCAACAGAACATCAAATCTATTACGGTAAATATTAAGAGATTTTTTTAAAATATTCAATATATGATTTTTTACATGTCTCACAATCACACAAAAATATTTATAATTACAGAAGGCAAAAATTATATCAAAATATACTAAAAATAGGTGTCAAATATTGTACATCTCTAGAAACACATCACATTTTATCCTTGAAACATAAAAAAACGTGAACAGAAAAATACATAAACATTGTTAGAAAGGTTAACTGTAAACACTGACTTTATTCCTTTTTGTTGTGAATGGAATAAAAGTCTAATAAAGAGGTTACTCATTTTTCAGACTCTCTCGGTGCTTTAGAGATATCGTGAAGCAAATGTGCAATAATAAAATATCAGTAAAACTGACAAAACAGTGAATATGGTATCACATGGTAATTTAAAACTTCTCTCGCATTTGCTACCTGAAATTCAGAACTAGAAGACAGATGTACAACTTTCTCAGTGTAAAGTCACAAACTGAAGGCTAAAGAGACAATTATAACAGACTGACACAATATTGAGAAAAGCAAATTAAAATCAAAATAATGAACAAAAATCACAAAAATTTTTACTTTACTAATTTTTTTCTCTCTTTCTTTTTTTTGTAGACCAAGGCAAAAAATGTTTTATTTTTTCTCATCAGCTTAACTGTACATGTTAGAATAAATTCATTTCTGCATTTTGGGTTCATAACATGTTATATTCAACATAAAATTTCTGAGGTTCATACTCTCTAATTTTAAAACAAGTTGGAGCAGGTCTAAGATTTTTCCAATGTTTTAAAATTTAAGAACAATTACCCTTCTGAAATTTTAATTATTGTCTAATACTTGTGTTGTTTTTTTAATTTATTCTGTCACTCATTTTTATCCTCAGCCCATGTTGTTTGTTGAAACCAAAGCAAGAAAATCTTATTAAAACTATTATAATTGTATTTTGTTTGTTAACAATAATTAAAATAAACTCTTCAAGCTTTAGAACATAAAATTAAATCAGTTCATATACAGTATAAAATGCTTTTTTGATGAAATTTCTGTGGTTTTTGTCTTTAACCCAACAACGTCAAACTGWGTAAGTCGTGCATATTTTTGTTTTCTATAATAACCAGCATCCCAGGCATCCAGACAACCTGAAGTTACAGAATCTCAGGTTTGACACTGAAATAAGGAGGAAAAAGGAGCAAAAGGCAGATCTGAGCAGGGAACTACACAGGAGAAATGCAGCTGCCACTCTGTGATGCGTCCATWGTGGCCGTAGGTGTGTTGTGTTTACCTAGTCAGCCTGGGGGGTCCTCTCTCTCGGGCACATGGACAGGCAGCCCACGGTGGGGGCGGGGGCACAGACGAAGGGAGGCTAGGGGGGTTGCCAAGGGCCTGGTCATGGCGGGTCAGTACCAAAGGGGTTTTAACATAAAGTGGAGAGGCATTTGTGTCGGGCGGGGGGGCGTGCGACATGTCACCCGGGGGGCTGTGCTTGGGGAAGTGCAGGCAGCTAGGTTTGGGGTTTGAATTGATGTCGAGCGACGAGGAGGAAGAGGAGGAAGAGGAGGAAGGAGGCGGGGCAGGGGGGGTGAAGCCAGACCAGCGCATCGGGGGAGGCGGGGAGGCCGGGGGCTGGGACTCGGGGCCTGGCGCCACGGGGCGAGCGCAGGGCGGGGCTTTGGGGTAGAAGTGGTGCGGGGCGGCGTGGCACGAGGCGCTCGGGTAAGGGGGGGGCGGCCGGTCCTCCCCCGGGGGTGCGTGGGCATGAGAGGTGTCCGGCCGATTGAGCGGCATGTTGTCTGAGCTGCAGATATTAAGAAAACAGACAGCACAAATAAAACAGCTCGAGTGGCTCGAACGCATTGGAGCGATTAAAAAAAAAATCTGTTCTGATGATTTGGGTGTTAGTGAGTTAGTTGGTCTGTGGCAAGAAGGAAAAAGACAAAAAAAAAGCATTTTAGGGAAAACTGGTGAGCACCAAACTTAGCACACAGTCAGCCTAGTGCAAATACAAGAACAAGCACAAAATAAGCAAAGAAAAACAGCATCTTATTGCCAAAGGAAAAGAATAGAGTGTGTAGAACTTCCTCTGTGATCACCTTGTGTCTGCACACTGCATGGAGCTCTGAGGATCTTTCTCTTTAGCCAAGGTCTTGATATGAAGCTTACAATGCTATCAAACTGAGCTGCATATCTCCTCACTGCTGGATATGGAAACCCTGATCATATTAGACTTTGTTCGCATCCCAGGTCCTGCAGTCAGCCCAGGGCAGTGTGAAACAGACACAAAACCCTTTCATCAGCTGAAAGAGCCACAGGAAATGAGGGGAAAGCCAGCCAAGCCAGAAGCCAGATTAATTCTTGTCTGCCACACAGGCAGAACCACTAACCATGAGGTGATTATTCATGTGTTTCAATATGAAAGTGGAACCGACTATYCTGGAGTCAATCTGAGTGTAAAAAGATGGAGAAAGCCAAGCCGACAGCGAGATGATGGATATYTCAGCATGCTTGCAAAGAGTCACAGATCAAAGCGTGTAATAACATCTTATACATAAACACAATGTCAATACAGGATTGAGTATAAAACAAAAATTGTCAAAGTTGGAAAAAGGAAAAAAAGAAGTTGCAATGAAAAACAACATAAAAACAGAATGCTCGCATAGTGCAGAGTGTGAAACCAGAACAATGGATTGGAGCTARGTCGCCTCGCTTTCGTCTCCTTCAAATGGCCTGGCCTCCTTTTTGGGTGAAAACGAACGCTGTGAAAGTGCTGGTGACACGCTGGAAATAACAAATGTGTCACATCTAGAAGTTTCAGCGTCGCTTTGACGCAGAAAATATGTATTTTTTAAAAGAGGTTTGCAGATTTGTTTGTTTCTATAAAACCAAGAAAGCTTATTAAAGCATAGCTTCATTTGCAGCGAGGACTTCAATAAGATGGGAGACATTTTAAGCTGTTATTATGTACACATGTGGCTACCCAGTGGAGCAGCTGCACCCCACTTTAGAAAAAGTGGGTGCAGGGGGTGGAATGACAATTGTGCTTCCCTTAAGTAAAAACAATTACAGTACATCCGGTTTTTCATCCTCAGTTTTATTCCTTTCAGATGCTACTGAGCATGCTACTTAATAATAATTTAAAATAATGAGCTTTCTATAAATTCAACACTGGACAAAGAAAACAAAAAAATTATCAAAGGGTAATCGAAGAATATGGTACAAATATAAAGTCTAATTTACCTACTATCTGTCAGCATATGACACTTTAGGCCAGAGGGTGGTGTTGTTATTCCACTTTTATTAGGGAGAAACTGCCCATTTCCCATAGTTCAACAATAAAGTGGCTTCCAGGGACTCAAAACTAACACTGGTCAAATGCATTTAGCACCAGTCAAAGCACTGAGGTTCATTTTCACCCAAAAACAAGGTGGCAGCTTGCAGAAGCTGAGTATGTTGCTCCAATCCATCAAACATTAGACATGAATATTTTGACTGAGGTAGAAAGAAAACAATGGATGGGTCACACGGCCAAGGACGATGGTCAAACCCGTTTAGAAATGTTGATGGTGACGAAGACGGTGTTGGCAGTAAGGATGCGTAGGAGTGTGCGAGTGAGGAAGGAGGAAGCGTTATTTTCATGTTAACTTACCAAATCCTCTCTCCCAGAGGGGGAGTGGCGGACGGAGAGGTGACGAGCTCTCCTGGCTGCTCGGGGATGAGCGTGTCTGCCGGGGAGCCGGGCCCTTGCATGCCCGGAGGAGTGGAGGAAGCCTTGCGCGTCAGTGTAGACGAYCCCTTGCGGGACACCCAGGAGGTATCCATAACCCGGACGCCCATACTGGAGAGGAACACAATCATAGTAGTAATCATGGTTACATGTGATGAAAACAATCCAAACATGAAGTGAGTGACGGGAAAATTTGAGGAAGGAAGTGGGAAAAAGGAATGATACGGTACCTTTGTATCTTCCTAATGCTGCGTTAGTAGAGGAGAAGAAAGGCAAAAGGGGTATGAGGACATACAGTAAGTGATGCAGACATTCACAAATTGAAAACATTGTGCATGAGGGGACGATGAGGGATGAGGAGGATGGCAAGCCTTAGTATTCAAATATAAGACTTGAAATCACCCGTCTGGTTAAAAAGTTTTGTAAATTCCACTGTTTTCTACCTCATTCTGCTGTAAAATGCGGCGGAAATTCATCCAGAATGCCGGGTTTTACGCCGATTCATGAACGCATCAGAATGCCGGAAAAAAAGGACGTTTTCTCAGGTCATTGAACGCTGCTTTTGACGCGCTACGGCATTCTGAGACCAGAGGAAACGRCGCATGTTACGCCGTTTTTAGACATCCATAACGCCGTCCAAAATGGCGTTTTAAGAAATTATGCAAAGCCCTGCCCAAACCTTTCTCATCCATTTGGATTAAACTCCACTCATCTAATAAGATAACTAGAACTGCAGATCACACTAATTCACCACACATCAGCTCTACTGCAAAGAGATTGATTATTTTATTTTATTTTTTTACCTTTTGTCAAAAATCACATTCTGGGTGTTCAGTAGGTGAGAGGATGTCAGAGCCCTTTACCCGTGTGCTCTCCATCAGGGGCGGAACTAGACTTTTTGCAAGGGGTGGTCGAGGTGCTTTTTAATGGGGGCACATACGAATAAAGAAAAACCCTCTGGATATGAACATTCAAATGGCTTGCATTCAGCTGTTTTAAGAAATATTGGATTGAAATTTGCATGAACATAGCTAAGAATGATTAAAAAAACCAAGCTAAATGTTAGCCACGACTTATTCAGCCCTTTTGAGTGACACAAAGCTGAAGATTAGTATAAAAGTAGCTGAAAACTATCAAATTCCAAATGCCACTTGAAAACACAAGATGGCCAACACAGCTCACTTTAAAACACATTTATTCAGCCATTTTAGGATTTACTGAAACGAAATTAGTTGTGAAGAAGTTAGGAATGATCACAAGCTGATTGCCGATGCTAATCCCAAATTAAGCTAACCACTAATGCTAATGCTAATTTTACAAAGTGCTATAATTCAGGAATTTTTAATCATACACAACTGAAAATTTATACAATATATGAGAGAGCAATCTTTCACAAAATCTAAATGTAAAAAAATTCAAGATCTGCACCCACTTGTCATTTCTTTTGGGGTGGCACTTGGGCTGGCCAATCAGGTGCCAGGTGTGGCACCAGCCACCCCGGCCACCCCTCTGGCCCCGCCCCTGCACTCAGTGGCATCTTTTAAATCAAACTGATTGATTGTTAAGCACCTTGTGAATATGTTTCCGTGAAAGGCGCTTTATAAGCAAAACTTTACTTACTTACTTACTTAAACCAGTTTAGAAGAGATTTTTCTTTTGCAAAGTTGCTCATTACTTAAAATTAAATAAAGCAACTTCAAAAATCTTACAACTTCAGATGAATATCTAATCTTGGAGGTTCTGTGTTAATTTGACTTTAGCTGGTTCTGCCCCCCTCACCCCCTTCAAATAATTTCCCATTGGTTGGATGAGTGACTCAGGCCAGGTGACGCAGCAGCCAGACTGTGAAGGATGAGCTGGGTGTGGGAGGACAAGAAGATGAGCCCAGAAAAATATTTCCTGAGGAAAAAAAATCAACTAACAGCTCTCTGTGAGGGGCCTGTTGCCATAGAGACAACACCATTCCAGCAATTCAGCCTCCTCTTGATGAAACCCGATAACAGGGGATTTAGTTGTATGTCGGAAAACAATTGGAGGCAAAATGCTTGTCTCTCTGTGATCTGRGGAGGCAGCTGACACCCTGGAGCAACAATTTTAGATGGCAGGATGTGTAAAAAAAATAAATTAAAGAAAATAAAACCTTTTCCTGCGAGCACACACTAATTCAGCTCAGCGGCGTGGGTGATGAGAGCGAGTGAAAGATGGAAGACGAGTGGGCAGGATCATACCCATCTTTCTTGTAGAACTCCAGCATCATGTTGTCAGTGGCGACGCTCAGTGGGCGGCGGCTCTGGTCGTGCTGCTGCTGCTGTTTGCGATCCGATTGGTCCATGTCTGGTGACGGCATGGAGCTGTAGTTGGAGTTGTGGTTGGTGTGGATCGGGCTTCCGTAGCTGCCTGTCAAGTTGAATTCAATCTCTGCGGCATAAGCAGACACAACATCAGCAGAACTGTAGCGAGTTTTCAACAAATCCTCTCCAAAACATTTCTTTTTTAGGCTAAAACATTATATTTTGAGTCTTTTTTCCCATCCAGGGTTAGCAAAAACTGTAGATACACAGACTATAAATGGGAGATAGCCTATTTAATGTACAGATTTTCAAAATCTTTTCATTTTGATAGCAAATCTAACCCTAAAATCACATCAGAGATGGTGTTCATTGAACACCCACAGTTCTGGATACCAGTATTTCCTTGCAGCAATCTATTTAGCACCTGAGTCTGTTTGTATTGTTGATTGCCCAACATCCCCCTCACATTTAAGTTCTGCTTTCTGTGTTTTAAAGCTCTCAGTCTGGGATTACTTTCTGGGACATGTGCATAACCTCTATTACAAGCGTGCACACTGTTCACAGTAATATTATCCCCTACCTCCAGGGAAAAACCAGTCAGCATGCTGAATTATGGGCTCAATAATGCCAACAATCTGTAGGGAAACAGTGGTCATCATCTCTGTCATGTTCCTGTCAAAAAAAAKAAAAAAAACAATAAGGACAATAAGCGTCACAATGAAATGAATGTGTGGTTAGTTTACACGTGGTTAGTACGTTAAGAATACATACGGTTCTGTGTGCGTCCAGAGCAAGTTAGGTCCGAGAACAATGGCGACATTACCGGGAGTCATCTTATTTGAGTCTTGATACTCACTCAGCTTGGCTAAAAATTTGATCAGATATCTGCAAAATAAGGTATTTTTTACACAGATGTTCTTTGATAATGTAGATAAAAATAATTACTTTTAGGTAAATAGAAAAAAATGCAGAATTAGTTGGGCTGCAGACATGCAAACAACTACAGCTTGCTTCAGGACTGCTAAACTATACTACTAAAGGACTTCTTGACTTTTGGTTTATTGATTGCATATGGCATGTTCAATTTAAAAAATAACGTTGAGCTTGTGTAACAATATGATTAAAAGAACTCAGAAGAAAGTACTGACCTAAAATTATTCAAGTTGTCTGTGGGTAGTTTTTCACATACTGCCATCAACGCTTGTAGCCTCTTATCCATATCCTGAACGCTGCAGACAAATATTGAACAAACAGGTTTATTCACGTTGCACTTTCTAGTAAATGTCACCAGTTTCCAGTTAGAAGGCTTGTTTCAAAGCCTACTTTTTATTCAACATAGCCAACAGGATAATCCAAGATTTGTTTTTAACGAGAGGATAACAACTCACTTCGAAGCCTGAATCCATTCATCATAAAGTTCAGTAGTCATTAATGGCTCAGGGAGTTCACGGAGGTATGATTTCAGGGCCCCTGTGGGTGAGAATAACGTGTCGAGGATAAAAAAAAGAAGAAGTTGGTCAGCTTTTTTTGAGAGATGTTTTCTTGCCTTCAGGGCACATGGAAGGCTATGCTCCATATCTTTACTGCCCTCTGGCTGGCCTTTGCAGCTGCCAGATTCATGTTTGTGCAGAATAGCTGTCATGCTAATATGTGTGACAGACAGCGACGACCGAGCAAGCAACCAAAGGGAAACTGTGGGCGGAGTATTTTCAGCGTGGGGAAACAACAACATTTTCTAATGTGTTTGAGTGGGTGGAAATCACCTGCAATGGCGTGTGGGTCGGACGAGTACTCCTGCACATCAAGAACGCCGCAGTCCAAAGAGGCTTTCAGCTTCTTCAGCTTGGAGGCCGATGGAGCCACTCTGAACAGGCCCTAAAGACCCCACATTTATTACACAGTCATGAGTAATTACCGGTTGTAACATGAGCTTTGCCCCAACACTAAATCGCAGCAAGTGCATTTGTTAAATGGTAACTATGAGCACACATTTCATTTTATTCCTGCGTGCAAAACGTGCAACGACAAAGTGCATGATGCGTGTGTTTTACCTCTTCTTGCATGCCACACTCTAATAGCATGGTGACACARGCTTCGATGGGGAAAGCGATCTCTCTCCCGCTAATATTCAGGTGTTCCTCCAGGGACTTGCCAAATGACGGCTTTTCCACCCACGCCTCTGCGACACAAATCAGTGTTAAGAATCGCACAGCGATACAATAAAACCCACTCATCACAWAGGTCATCTTTTTCGGGAGGATTTGGAACGATGGTTCTACAAAGTTTTTTTTTCTCTGCAAATTTATTAAAAACGTGATGCTGAAAAGCTTCAGTTAAAGGGACCCCCATTAGTTGTAACATTAGACTTTATATGATAAACATATATTTTAACTGTAAAATAAAGACTGTAAAAATTCTGTAGGATGTTCAGTTTTTATCATTTTTAAACTAAAAGTTTAAAAATATATTACACGAACGGGGCCATTTTATTTACACAAAGCATTCCGGGTAAATGATAACGTGGATAGGTCCTCGGTGTGAG